CACACACACACACACACATCATTACACTATTATTGTCCAGGTACTTTTGCAGCTGAGTGGAAACAGGTCTACAATTGTTAACATTTAATAATCATTGATCGGCGCAGTCCCATGTGATCGTTTGAAGGCGAAAAACCTACAACTAAATCTAAAAAGTAGATTTTTATAGTTGTGTAAATTAGGGGGAAAAAATCAATGTGGGCTGGTCTTAATGGTGTGAGTAATGCAATTTTGTTTGGCAAGTCAGCGGATTTGGGGGGATTCCAGCACTCAGGGTTCACGATACGTTATCAAACACGTAAGCAGCGGGTAGGAATCTGCATCCTCTTGCCAAATTTAGTGTTTCTTTGTTTCTGCCCATTTCATTCGAGGGCGAAAGAATAGTCTGCAGGGTTTCTGCCTCTGATTCTGTGCGGTTTACATGTGAAAATGGTGAAGGAGGAGGATTCTGATTTATTTTTTATATATTTTGGATTTGTTTCTAATTAAATCTCTGGTGAATATTAACAGATGAACAATAGTCAGTGTTTGCATAACTAACACTTTTGAGTATCCATATCAGTTACGTTTTCAGAGGTGGATTGAACTGTAACCATACAAATAACGGCTTGTTGGTTTAGAAGGATTGCTTATCAAGTGTGTATGTTTTTGCTAAATACGGTATTAAATTTGACATGAATATTTTTTTATGAATGCAACTATGTAGTGATCCGAGTAAACTCTAGTGCCATATTAAAGGGAGATGGCTGGTCAAAGTTCAGATACTCACTGATACTATTACAACTAACCTCAACTCACCACAAACTATTTACTGCAGTACCAGTCAAATGTCTGGACACACTTAGTGAAAATCATTTGTTATTTCAACAAGATAACGGCTCTAAGCACACATCGAGGTTAAATACTGTATTAAACTCGTAAAATAAATGAATGAGATGGAGAGCTATGACAGATGACCTGGATCACAGGTAGTAATGTAACAACCAGCTTCACCTCAGTGCTTTTGTAATTTATTAACTATTATATCCATCCATCCATCCATTTTCTCCCACTTATCCGAGGTCGGGTCGCGGGGGCAGCAGTCTCAGCAGGGAAACCCAGACTTCCCTCTCCCCGGCCACTTCATCCAGCTCCTCTGGGGGAA